TCTCCTTCTCTTTCCCTTCTCTTCTCCTGTTCCCCTTTAAATGACAAAAACACGAGAAAGGAAGAACAAGAGAGGAATGGAGGCCCTTTTCCTGAATTCTCCTGTTGCAATGAATAAGGAAAAGAGCATAGGAGATAAGGAAGGGAATTGTGGGCGATGGAACGGGTGTCCTTTTTGATAGTTTTCTGCATCTTCAAGGAAGAAAAAAGGACACCCGCCCAAGAAGGAAAAGTAACATAAGAGATAGGGAGGAAATTGAAAAGCTCCTCTCTTTACCTAGTCATTCCCTGTCCTCTCTTCTTTTTTGTTGTTTTTCTTATTCGCTTCAAAAAGCAAAATAACAAAATAAGGGAAAGGCGATTTCCTGAAGAGGAAGAAGGGCGCCTACCTGTGAATAGCAAGGTTGATTTTTTCTAATTAGGGAGAGACTTGCCCCGCCTGAGCCTCCCTGGCCTGCTTGTTGTGGCCACATTCCGGTACAGTTGCGCTTCCAGAAAAATGGCATCCTTGTTATCTCCTCTCACTTCCCTTTCCCTTCTCTCCTTCTGTTTCCTTCTGACTGATAAACCGCAAGAAAGGAACTTGTATGATAAGGCAGTGGAAGGGTAAGCAGAGGGTGACTCCTGGCGCGTGGACCGGTCCATACTTCGTCATACCCCTCCTCTCGGCCTATCTCTTCTGTTCCTTTCCTTACCCTTCTCCTTCTCATAGTTCTTCCTTTTTGTTCTCTTATTTCGAAAAGAAAGATGGCAGGGAGAGATAAGGAAGAGAGGATAGATAAAGAGTGAGTGCCATTTTCTCTGCGCCTTGTTTTGTCTCTCCCTCTTCTCTATTCATCTCTCTTCTATTCTTTTCTTTGCTCTTCCCATTAACAATGCAATCCTTTTGTCTCTCCTCTCTCCTTCTCTCTCCCTTCTCTTCTCCTGTTCCCCTTTAAATGACAAAAACGCAAGAAAGGAAGAACAAGAGGGGAATGGAGGCCATGTTCCTTTCTTTTCCAATGGATGGGGAAAGTGAGCGGGGTTGGCTCCTTGTCCGTAGACCCTCCCCACGCTGCAGCAAATCCCTCCTCTCGCCCTATCGCCTCTGTTCTTTTCCTTGTTCCCAAACGGAAAAAGAAAATGGGTTCCTTTACATGTTCATTGTTCTTCCTTTTGTTTTCTATTTAAAAGGGAAAGATAAGAAAGAGAGGAAAGAAGAAAACGAGCACCATCCTCTCTTTGCCTGATTTTGCACCTCCCTCTCCTGTCTTCATTTCTCTTCCATGACTTTCATTGCTCTTCCCATGAAAATTGTTTCCTTTTGATCTCTCCTCTCTCCTTTCTCTCTCCCTTCTCTTCTCTTGTTCTCTTTTGAATCTCAAAATCACACCAAAGGAAGCTTCTTTTCCTTATTGAATTAAAAAGAAAAAGAAGAAAAGAGATAGGTAAAGACACTGAAGAGCTCCACTGCCTATTGTTTCATTCCCTTTCCTCTCTTTCTATGTGTTGTTTTCCTTGTCGTTTCAGAAAGCTAGCAAAATAAGGGCAAGGGGGCTTCCTGAAGAGGAGAGAGGGCACCTATTTTTTAATTATAGAGGGAAAAGCGAGAGACAAGGAAGGGACAGATGATAGATAAAGAAGAGTGCTATCCGTCTCCTTGTTTATTGTGTCTTCTCTTCTTTTCAGTACCCCTCCAGAAAATTCAAATGGCCTCCTTGTTGTCTCTCCTCTCTCACTTCCCTTGCCCTTCTCTCCTTCTGTTACCTTTTAACTAATATAACACAAGAAAGGAACTTGTATGATAAAGCAGTGGAAGGGTAAGCAGAGAGTGACTCCTTGCGCGTGGACCTTGCCCATACTTCATCATATCCCTCTTTTCGGCCTGTCTCTTCTGCTCTTTTCCTTACCCTTCTCCTTTTCAAGTTCTTCCTTTTTCGTTTTTCTGTTTCGAAAAGAAAGAGGGAAGGGAGAGAGAAGGGAGAGAGGATAGATAAAGAAGAGTGCCATTTTCTTTGCGCCTTGTTTTGTCTCTCCATCTTCTTTGTTCATCTCTCTTTTCTATTCTTTTCTTGGCTCTTCCCATTAAAATTGTCTTCCTTTTATCTCTCCTCTCTCCTTCTCTTTCCCTTCTCTTCTCCTGTTCCCCTTTAAATGACAAAAACACAAGAAAGGAAGAACAAGAGGGGAATGGAGGCCCTTTTCCTGTATTCTCCTGTTGCAATGAATACAGAAAAGAGCATAGGAGATAAGGAAGGGAATTGAGGAGCTCCTTTCGCTACTTTCTTATGCCCTTTCCTTTGTATCTACCACACAAAAACACCACTCTCAGCTTCCAAGAATACTCTCGTGGAGACGCATTGGTTAGTCTAAAAACCCGAGTCTCAGCTTCCAAATAGACCCTATTTAAGCCACCCCCCCCCCCCCCCCCCCCCCCCCACACCTTGGAAAATTTGGGGTCGGCGGCACTGGCGGTAGCCATTAATATATATATATATATATACATATGTATACCAGTAAAAGACAGAGGCAGAGAGAGAGAGAGAGAGAGACAGAGAGAGAGAGAGAGAGAGAGAGAGCGAGAGAGAGTGCAAGCACCCCGCTCGAGGGCCTCGCTCTCGGCCTCTCGTTCTGCGCCTTCGCTGAAGCGCGGCAAGCCGGGCTCCTTCGCAACCTCCGGTTGAGCGCAGCGGGTTACCTGCGGCGGAAGTTTTTCCTTGGGTGCAGCTTGGTTGATCTCGGGGTTTGGCTTGGTTTTGCTTGTTGTGTCTGCTTGTCAATGTCTGCAGGCCGAATAGATCCTACAGTACTCCAGGTCGTGGCATACCTTTGAGGACAGGGCGTTGGACCTCAGGTGTCTGGAGGCCTGGAGGGCCTGGAGGAAGAAGCGAACAGGTCTCTCTAAGTCGACCGCTCTTCAAGACAGATGTCTTAGCCGGAGCCCTTTCTGTCACCCACTGCGAACCACGAGATATTGTCTCAGCCGACCTCTAGGCGATCCCCTATGATATCCCTATGATCCCCCTATGGTGCTATTACGTCTGGCCTTTCTAGGCTCCACGAGGAGCACTTCCAGAGCGTTGTAGGGTACCTGGCAAGGTGGGGTTGTGAGAACACTCCTAAGTGTCTGACCTTCGCTAGCCCCCAAACTTCTCGCCCCTCCCACTTCTCCCCTAACAGCTCTCTTCCCATTTCTTATCTTGCTGAGTTCTGCCCGCGCCATGTAGATCTGCTCGCCACCTCCGGAAGCCACTGCGCCGCGCCTGAGAACAAAATCAGAGAGAGCCGCAACAGGGGAAGAAGGGCAGGGGAAGAAGGGAGAAACAAGGAGTTCGCCTCTCCGGCAAAAGAAGACCTGCTGGCCCACACGATCTCCCCCTGTCAAGGACCTCTGACCCATCCTGGGGACTTAATCTTAGGGCAAACGCTGGGACCCTCCCTGAAACCGCCTCTGGGACGCCCCCTGGCTTCTCAAAAGCCTGCGCTAAGCGATGTACGACTTTGGCCTTCCTTCGTCTGCAATGCGCACGCTACACCTCGCGTTGGGCCGCGCGCGAGCGCTTACAAATACATATACATTTATCACAATAGGCTTTTGTCTCAATTCCAGAAATGCTCTGCAAGGCAATGGGAAAATACCTCCTTCGCATGCTAGTAACTCAATTTCCTCTAGTTCCTTCTTTGTACGGTCCCCGCCCCCTACTCCCAAATTGCGCTATCCTCAGCTCAATCCAACCCCACGCTGCCATCACTTGTGCCGTATAAGATGACAACTTATAAGACCACAACCGCCAATCGTGCACAGTGTACTCAGTGTACTCAGTGTACTCTACTGTGCTGTGACGGCGCTGCCCCGCTAACATAGCTCTCAGAGTCTCAGTCTTTTGAAGTGCTTGGGGCTTGGGCCGCTCTCTAAATGTCTAAATGCAGAGGGGTCGCCACTTCCGCCGGGTCTGGCCGAAGTGGCCGAGGAGGCTTATCGTCGGGTCTTTCCCGGGCGTGATGCACAGCACGTTGGGCGAGTCGTACGGAGCACCTTGCACAAAATCCCAAAACTCAAAACCGTCAAACAGCAAACCATCACAAACCCAGAGCAGACTCACCACCAGGGAAGCGAAAGTCAAAACGCAATGAGAGCAGCAACCACGCAAAGTCTTGCAGACTTTGCGGCTTGGAAAGTGAAGCCATCACTCTACACAAGTCCTGTATTTTGGAAATTTTTCATGTTCGCGAAACTTGGAAACGCATGAATCATGAACACGCCCCTCGCTTTTGCTCAGGCCGAAGTTGGGGTGAAGGGAAGTGCGCGGTGCCGGCCGAAGTGCTCCTTGCTCGTTCCGTTTTCCCAGGCATTTTTTGGCTTGTCTGATAGCCCTGTAGAACAACACGACGCAGTGACAGCATCGCATCCCGCCTAATTGTGGGGCCCTTTTGTGCGCCAGCAGCAGTTTTTTTATTATCTCAGGCCGATTGGACACATGTGCTTCAGCAGTTGGCACAGGCCAGCTCCATGGACAGTTCTCAGCTTGTCGAGTTGCGTGCATGTGGAGTTGAATGCGCACAGTCCAGTCTGTCTGAGGAGAACTACACTGACCGGCTCCGATGGGACCATCGTGACGGAAGCCTCGCTTTGATTTCCCTGGAGGCCACGCCTGTGGCTGACGGCCGCGTTTCCTGGTACAAATACCTTCCCAACCTTCATTTCGGGCTTCGGCAGATCCTCGCGGCCTGGATCGCAGGGGACCCCGGGACTTCAGCCCTTCAGCCATTTCAGCCTATGAGCACTTTAGTTCGTAACATTAACGCGGGCGGCTTCTCTTCAAGTTTAGATTTGAAGCTTTCGCAGGGCCAAGGAGGTCGATGTACCCAAAACAGTAGCTTACCCCTTGTCTTGGCAGTGTCGTGCTTTCACCACCGCTCTCTGAGATGCAAGTTCTCATGCGCATACACAACCGCTCGAATAGAGATTTCTTGAAAAAGGCGCGCGGCCTGAGACTAATATGGCTAAGCTTTCCGAGGTGCAATAGATCCGCCCGTCGCAGCCCAGCGCGGCTCCTCAACTGAAGTGGCGAGAACTCCCGAGAAGTCTACTCCGAGTGAACGGAACTCCACTCTACGCTCAGTGCTCTCGCGCAACAAGGCACAAAGCATGCTAACATGCAAATGCATTGCATATGCATTTGTTCTGCTTGCTGCGTGCTCCTGCCCACTTGCTTTCGCCCGGCGGCAGCTCTCCGAAGCCTCGAGTAGAGGGGGGAAGAGTGGGGAAGAGAGTGAAAAAAGAGAGAGGGAACAACAAAAATACCAGTATGTTTCTTGCAGGCCAAAAAAAGTCGAAAACACCGAAAAACGCAAGCTCGTGTGAGAAAGGTTAGACTGGAGCTTCGAGGGGCAGGTCGCCGAGCGCCCGCAGACGTCGATGCGGAGCACGGACTCGCGAGAAGAGGCTTGACAAACGAGAGGATGAAAATACATCACTGGAAAAACAGAGCACAGAAAGAGCAAGAAGTAAGGCGAATGGTAAACGGTCCTCGGCGGTCCATGGAACGCAGTACACGCAGCCATCTTCAGCCAAGATCCCATCTCTCCTTCGACCGTTGAGTCCCACACTGTCTTCACTGCGCAAGCTGTAACATGTAAACTCAACTCATATGCTCGGGGCATGTGGCCCCCATTAGCCCCCATTCGCCCCATAAAAGTGCGTTAACAGGGATCCACTTGTGCTCAGCCAATGAGGCCGCAGTGCAGCCCGTGCCGGTGGAGGTGTCCAGGAAGGAAACGTTCTTGCCCATGCAGTCGATGACCAGCACCTGCCCCCAAAAAATCGCACTGACACTTCCCACAAGCCACACGCAAAGAGATGCTAAAGATTTCATAGATGCACTTCGAAGCGACTGCCGCGATGCATGCGGGAACGACAATGTTGCTGGCTCTCTGTTGTCTTCTCCGTGCGCTTCGGGGTCCGCTCTCGTCTGTTTGAGAGGCTCCCCCGAAGGGTCTTCCGGGTTAACCCTGGGTCTTTCTCTGTCTCTCTCTCCCTCTCTGTCTCTCCCTCTGTCTCTCAAGAAGGTTGCGTTTGCGAGTGCACCCTCGAGGGATCTGTTGGATGTCGCCCCTTCTCCGCCCCGCGTCCCCACTTTTCTTTAGGAGGGTCTTAAAGAAGAAAAAGAGCCGTGACAATAGACCCCATCGCTTTCAGTATCGCAGAAGACCAGAATGCGACCCTGAACGGTGGAAACACTCTAGCTGCATATTCTGGAAGCTTGTCACATAATTCCCAACGGCACATACTGTTGGTTTTTTGCCTCTATAGAAATAGAAAGGGGGTCTGGATGGAACTCTTTGAAACCGGCCAAACCTGCAAGAAGACGTCATATCCGGAAATGGTGGAAGACGAAGCGAATCGGGAAAAAAACACAGCTTAATCCATGAAAGTTGGTACATGAAAAAGACGGGAACATCCGAAAATGCTGGATTGCAAAACAAATCGCAAAGCAGACAGGAACATCGAAAATATCCGAAAGACAGACATATCTGGGAAGTGTGGAAACCAACGCCGATCGGGGAAACACAGAAAGATCCGGAAATGCCCGAATGTGAAGGAAAAGTATCTGGAAAGGATGGAATAGCAACGAATCGAGAAAAGATGGAATATCCGGAAAATTTTCGAAAGTGAAAGACGGAAACATCTGGAAACGATGGAATATGAAGCGAATCGGCAAGAAGACGGGCAAATCCCGAAATGTCCGAACATGAAGAAGGAAACGTCCGGAACTGGTGGAATGTGATGCGAATCGGGGAGAAGATGACAAAGTCCGGAAATATCCGTACAGGAGAGACGGACATATCCCGAAATGATGGAAGATGAAGAGACTCAGGAATCAGACAGCAATATTCGGCAGTGTCCAACATCCGACTATGAATGAGGTCGCATTCTCTTCGTCCGGCGCAAGACAGGCAAGACATCCAAGGACGTTTGCCTGCTGTAGCGTCTGGTTGCCTGATTCATTGGAAGTGTACGGCACCTAGTACAATTGGTCATAGTTCTTGGAACTGCATGGGTATTCGTGGCCGCCTGATTGTGAGGAGTCTTGAAGGTGTAATTAACGGTATCTACCGTTGCGGTCATGGTTCTTGGAAGTGTGCCTGCCGTCGCGTTTGAATCTTTACCTACCGTCATGGCCGTTGGAAGCATGCCTACAATTGTGGTCACGGGTGTTGAAAACTGCGTGGCTACTGTCGTCCCGGAGGGTCCACCTACGTCACGACTGCCGGAAGTGTATGTGGTGTCTGGATTGTTGGAAGGGCGCCAACCGTTGTGGTCTTGGACGTGGCCGTTACCATCGAGGTGGCCTGGTTCCTGAAAGCGAGCGTTGTTGGAACTTCTGATATCCACTGAATCTTGCAGAAGTGCCTACCTACTCGTGGTGGACCGGCTCTTTGAAAGTAAGTTTTACCCAGTCTCATGACCTGGTTCTTGATCTCCTGGCTCGTGGGTGGTCACTTGGTTTTTGGGCGTGTACCTATCTGCTCGCATCTTGGATCTGTACCGTTATGACCTACTGGAGCGTGGGGCTTACCAGGGGCTTACCAGGCTTACCGTCAAGGTGCGCCTCTTGGAAGCCTGTGGTGGCCGCTCGGCTCGTGGAAGTGTGTCATGCTCGGTTCTTGGAAGTGCCGTCATGGTCGCTTGGTAAAGCTATGCTGATTGGGTCTTGAATGGGCTAATGTTCACTGTTTACTCCCACACCTGGCTGAAAGCCAGTTGCTTCAACAATTGCACAGCTTTGCAATCCTCTCTTGCCCTCGTAACATATTTCAACTCGCTATATCATTGTCCTCCTGACACTTTCAAGGGCTTTCGAGTGACCGACCGTTCAAAGGGGGAAGATCCTCGGCTATACTCTCCGATGTCTGTGGCAAGAAGGTTCCTTCAGGGAGGTGGGAGTGCAACATGGAAGCAGCTGCTGAGGGAACTTGCGCGACAGGCGCAAGATTTTCGACTGTGCAGGCAAAATGCCATTCTACAAGGAGAAACCAGAGCCATAAGTATTGCCAATTGGAGGCGTTTCGCCAAAACCTCATGAACTCACAATATGTGCTTGATGAGCTCTATCAAAGCATTGCAAAACCGCATAGCGGCCACGTCTCGTGATGTGACCTCCTTATTCCGAAGTGTTGGCCGAGGGTTTGGAGTTCGAAGCTCCGCCCCCTCACAGCCCTCACAGCACCTGTTCTCAGCCTTTTTGAAATCAAACTTCTCAGGCTGATGTGTTCTTCGAATAGTCTCTCTTCTGTTCTGAGAGTTCAAGAGCGCCTGTGGATGTGTCCAGGGCACGCAATAGATCTTGCCATCTCCGGCAAGGACCCCGCCCGACCACCTCAAGTAGCGGAATCTTCGTGACAGCCGCAATGCAGTTTGCACGCAGCTCAGGCAAAGTACAGGCCATAATCCTGCGCGCAGTGCTTGTTGCGACCTAGGGTCTTGTGGGTTCCGACCTTGGATGAGCGGTTCAAAAACGCACTAAGAGGACCGGATCGGTATCTCAAGATAAGCTGCATCGATCGCATCCCCCCCGAAGCAAGAGCTCTGCCTCGTTCGGGGATCATAGCAAAGCACCTGAGGGACAGAGATCAAGCGCAGGTGAAGCAATCCACATACCGGCCAAGCCGGCCCAGCTACCCCAGTAATACCCGGCTCGGCCTCAGTGGCTGTGTCGGGGATGCCTCAATACCGAAAGTGCTGCATAGAGTTAGCGTGCCATCAGTTCAGTCACATTCCGTGGGTGTGTGGGACGCTGCACATCGTACATGCAGCTCATGCAGCAATGCAGACAAACGAGATTGAAGACTCTTGCGCCAACAGGGACATCTGGGCTGTGTATTGATCTGTCGGTGTAACCCAGGCTGAACGTACAACCCGTGCCGCGTGAAGAGGCTTGGAAAGGCTTTCAGCCTCTGATTCCGAGCATCGCTTGAGTGACCAAGCATGTGTGACAACAAATGTGTGACAGTATGTGTGAGGTGAGCGACTTGGGGGATGCTCTTCTCCGATTTCTTCTGACTCTCGATCTCTCTACTAGTCCAGAAGTGACAACATGACAGCATGACTTGGCTTTGGGCAATAGATCTTCTGGTCTGGACCATGCACGCCCATCGACCAATCCATCGCATGAGAGTAAGTGAAGAGACCGCTGAGCTTTCTCACTCTGAGCGTTCTCCGTGTGCGATTAGCGTTGGGACCCGCTGCAATAGGCCTGAATGAAGCCAAGTTTGCTGGGCGATTCAGGACATGGGGCTTTTTGGGGGGTTCAGAGAGCGGCTCCAGCAAAATGGATGCGGCAATTTTTGATTTTGAAGCCGACTTGAACCCATTGAACCGATGGCGCGGCCTCTTGGCTCAAAAGAAAGGCCCTTGAGTCTGTGAGTCTGGCCTCCTTTCCACCCGCCGGAAACCGGGAATCCCCGTTGAGCCGCAACAAACCTTCAAATGGAAAACGAGTTGTCTTGATCAGTCCGGCAAAGGGTAGTAGAAGGGTCCAGGAGCCGGGAGCCGGAATGACCGCCTACCCGCTTTGGTGGGCCCGGGCTCGGGATTTCGATGCTCTGGCCTCTGAGCTTAAATTGCCACAGTTTTCGAATAGCATGGTATGGGCACTGATGGGCACTGATGGGCACTAATTGATGGGACCTCCTTTTATGCCTTGGCCCGAGGGACCCTGCCCCTTGATTTCAAATTGAGCGGCCTCGTGGGTCAAATTGGCGAGGCTCTGAGCGATTTCGAAAAAAACCCTGTTGCCTCTTTCGGCTAAAAGGCCAAATTTTCAAAGCTCTTGAAATCTTAATGGCGAGGGAGCCATGTATTTCAAAGGCCTTTCAGCGTCTTGGCTTAAAGAGTTGGCCCGCAATCCCAATTGGGGGGGGGGGTCCCTATAAGCCTTCAAGCCCTAAATCTGTAGGCCTGTAGGTATAAACTCGTCACCCCTGTTGGCCGAACAAAAAGGGACAACATCAGCCTTCGACGTTAAGGAGACTGAAGTATGTCCGTGTGCTCTCAAGTCCTCTCCACGCCTACTTCTCAGGGTGGGGCAAAACTGTTATTCTTAGGCCTAACTCGCTACCGGCAAATGCCCAGGTGATGCAGGATGCGTCCAACCCACACCAGCTTCGACTGTTTCGGGGGGAGGAAACGCCGCTAAGCAGGTCCAACATTGCATGGTTTGCTCACTTATGTTACTCTCCTGTATCATGTAACTTTGGTTGTGTCATATGTGTGTGTGTGTGAATCGCTTGATGCCTTCGCTCCCTCCTGTTTACAGGTCTGTTGAGCTCAGCTCCGCCTTAAGATGGCAGAGTGTAATTCGGGGAATGTATGGAACTGTGCGAGAGAATCTGGGAGGACGTGACGTGTCATGATTGATAGAGAGCTTGAGCCGGGGGGCGCAAGGCGAGACCAGCGAAAGCCAGGCGTGCAAGAGGCGGGACTAATTTTGCTTTCTCTCTCTCTCTCTCCCTCTCTCTCCCCCTCTTTCTTTCTTTCTTTCTTTGGGGCATCTCTCTCTCTCTCTCTTCTTCTTCTTCTGCTGGGCATGAAGGGAACCCGCGAGAAGGCCCCCACCCCCCCCCCCCCCCCCCCCCCGCGCACGAAGCGCGCCCGAATCCGTTGTTGTTAGTGAGACTTCATCCAGGGCGTCGAGCGTTTCTGACTGTGTTTTTCCCCGGAGTGACACGCCCCTCGTCCTTTTGTTTCCCCCACACACACGAACCCCGATCCACCAAACCTGCAAGACCTCAGTTTCGTCCACCAAACCTGTAAGGCCAGAGTTTCGTCCAGGACTGGGCTTAGGTTCTCGATGTTGGGTCAGAGCGACATCCTTCCCAACACTCTCTCTCTCTCTCTCTCTCTCTCTCTCTCTCTCTCGCTGCCTGACAAAAACTCCCCCCCCGCCATTGGGGAGGGCAGAGCTCAGAGCTCGGGCCACAGGCGTGGGCAGAGCACAAATCAGCACAAAGCAGCACACCAATTCTTGGCCCGGAATGGGTACCTCCCCTCTGGGAGCCCGGTCGTCACGTAACGTAGCATTAACATACATGAGGTAGCCTTCAAGGTCCTTTAGGTCTGTTCAAGGCATTCAGGTCCCCCTTTATTCATGGCTCCGCAATCAGCAGAACGCCCAAACTTAAGGACCAGCATTAGAGAAGCATGCCCACGAGACTTTGACTTTGAGACTTTTGGGGTGAACAATTCTTGCTCGGTGAGACGATCCGTCTTTGTGCGTAGTGACACACAGCATCGCAGCAGAATCACAGCAGCATCACAGCACTGTACAGCGCAGTACGAGTCTTGAGTCAGTAACTGCCAGGTCGTATGGCGTGCACGCGGATGCGTTGTGGTGGTACCCCAGCAGCCTGCGCCGCTGCACGAACGAAAAGTCGTTGGAATGCATCCTTGTCGTCCACGGCAGCGTAGGGGTACTGGATGTGGAGGCTGGCTTGAGTGGCGGGGTAGCTTCTTTGACTCGGAGCTTCGTACTCAGTGACTCCTTGAGCTGCACCAGCGAAACCAGTGAAGCCGATGTCTGCTGGGACATCAGCGCCCTGTGCGCCCTGCGTGCCCTGCGTGCCTTGTGGGCTGGGGGCCCCCGGGCTGCTCTGCCTTCCGAAAGCAGCAAAGCTGGGGCCAGTGGGGCCAGAGCCCAGTGTGCCATCGTCACCCCACGCATCAAACGGGGCGGCAGCCGAAACGTCAGCCCCAGCCCATGTCGTACCAAAGTCAGGAAAAGCCTCACCAGAAGGGCCAGAAGGGCCAGAAGGCCAAGCGCTTGGTGCAAAGCCGTCGAAGTTTGAGTCGCCTCTTTCCCGATCTCTTTCCCTGGAATCCTTGGAGTCCTTTCCTTCTTTTCGCTTCTTCTTCTTCTCGGACTTCTCCTTCTCGAAGCGGTCCCGGTCGCTGGACGCCGCGTGCGAGGCCACGGGTGAGGCCAAGGGGTTCACCTGAGCGCTCGCTTCGAAGAGTCCCGGCTGCGTGCCAGATTGAGACGTGGACGCCCCGGGCGGCCCGGGCGCCGGGCCCGGAAGGGAGGCTGCGGAGGTTAGGGCCGAGGCCGGCAAGGAGGGCAAGGAGGGCGCCGCCGGGCTCGCACCGGGACTCGCTGCTCCAGCGACACCACCGGCACCACCGGCACCACCGGCACCGGCGTGAGAGGAGTTGCTGCCTCTTGCTGCCCACTGGTCTTTGACCCGCTCCATCCGCTCCAGCAGCGCTGCGATCTGGTTGAAGGTGGCCTCGCCGCCGTCCTGAGAGCGGATTCGCGCATGCGAGCGCTCTTCTGTCCCAACCCCGTGCTAACCCGACAAACAAAGACGCCACAAAAGACAATCGCCCCTCACGTGAGTAACTCTAGAGATTAACCAGAGAGTAACTGCTGGAGCACAGCACTGACCCGGACTCCCTCAACTCGGCATTCCCCGTGCCCCAAAAGCCCTGCGAGCTCTGTGAGAGCTCAAGAACGTCACAGAGTCACCGAAAATGTGTCGCTCAAGCTTGAGGCCAGGCGCACGGTCCAAGATGTCTGGCACTGAATCCTGCAGACGATCACGTAGCTCCTGGCATTCCCGGAGGGTGCCCCCAAGGACCTCGGACAAGTCCTGTGCCAGGAAGCAAGGCAGCACGGGGCCTTGGGAGTTTACAGGACCCGCCTGAAATGCCCCAATGGAAGGCATTCTTGAATTTGGCATATAGAAGTGCTCTTCAGATTGAGGGCCCTAGACGTCTTTTGAATCTGAGGCCTTTTTCGCGGCAAGATGATGTGATGCCGGGCTTGTGCTTGGAGCAAACTCCTCGAAAGCTCCCCAGAGGCGCCCGCTGCAATGTCCCCAGTCGCCTGTATTCGTACTTCGGGTCGGTTTTTTCCCCCCCCCCCCCCCCCCGCGGAGGATGAGAAATATGAACCTGCAACCTGAAATATCCTGAATTAGAGCCTGGAATCTGGAGGCCTCAGCAATTCGATTTCAGCCTTTGGCAAATCGCCAGGTTTCCTTGGGTTGGCAATTGGCGACGGACCATTCGCAGAGTGGCGCTGGCAACAACGGGAGCATCACAACAGATCGCAGAAAAGAAGATCGTGCTCCTTGAGATTTGCCTACGACTCTGAAAGTTTCTGCTTTATTCATTGCAAAGGGCTCAGCCCCGAGTCTCCCTCGCGGGTCTCCCTCGCGGCATCTGACACGCCCTCTTCTCACAACTTTCACTAGTCCCATGGTCTTTTCGTCTTGGAACCCTCACGATTAGTAAACTCTCTGCTGCTTCTGCTGTTCGTCTCCCCTGCGGTCCTCCCCACCGCCGGGTGCCAGGAGGTCTTCGAGGAAGTCCAAGGTCTCGGACAGCTGCCTCTGAGGGCGTGCTCACGAAAACCCCGCACACAAACGTGCACAAACGTGCAGAAAAAACACCTTGGGGCAAACACAAACACGATCCCGAGAGATCGCGCGAATCCGTCGCTTCTCTCGTTAAGAGCGCCTCAGGTCGCGTGCCGTGGCATCCATGGCCTCAAGAAACGCAAATCAAATGCGAATCATGCTCCTGACATCTCATGCGCCCATGCTTTTGCACAGCTTTGAGTCACGTCAAAACTCTGCAGACAAAGAGTGGCCGCGCCAAGAGTCCAGGGGCCCTGCGGATGTACTGTGCCGGGCGGACCACGCAGGAATCACCACAGGAATCACCACAGGAATCACCGAAATCTAGTTTCAGGTTCTCCAGAACTCTACGACGGACTGTCTGAGATCTCTATGCCCCATCAGTTCTGTTGCCTTTTAACAACGGCTGCGTACTGCTCTGCCATGTACGCGTAAGTAGTTGGTGCTGACTTTTGCTGACTTGCCTGGGCTTGCGGCTTGTCTGAGGCCGATGTCGCTGACTCGAGGCCAGGTATAAAGTTCACACCCACACGCCGACTTTACGACCTCATCGACAAATCGACGACGGGTTTGCAACAGTGCTACAGTAGCAGTTTATCTGCGAGGACCCCTCTCTTATGATTTCCAAGTAAGTGTTTCCGACCATCGTAGAATGAAAGAACTGCAAAACGATAAGGCAAGGAAGGGCGGAAGGAACGAGAGAGGAAAGGAAACGAGGAGGGGCGAAGGAACGAAGAAAATACTTGAAAAAACCTTCTAGCAGAGTGTCTTTATGCGTTGAACCACTTCGTGGAGTGACGACGAGCGTGTGAGACAATCACGCCAAGCATGGATGCTGCAATTTCAAGAACAATAAATAAATGGACAAGCATGTCGTTTCAACTTCTTGCCGTTCTGTTCATCTGCTCGCAATGACAGATGCTTAGCCGTATGCTCAACTCGATGGAAGCGGCGATTTAATTTGTTAGGTACTGCACGGAGCATATGAAGATGGGCCAAAAGTCATTGTGCAAGGCTGTAGCCCCATGAGAGCACGTAGGGAGTGTATGCGACCTGCGACATTGCTGATGAGCGTGTGTCTGTGTGTCTCATGCTGACATACGTTGGTGCAAAACATAGTTTCAGGGCTTTTGGCAGAGACCGACCTCGGCCATGAGGCTGTGTCTTGCAGGCTCGCGTTCCGTGCCCAAGGTGCACAGAAGGCACCTGCAATGGACGTGGCCCACGTTCTGCGCGCATGCCGCCTTTGCAAGCGAGTCTGAGGTCCCCCGGCATCAACTCTCATGACTTCCTCTTTTCACGTCTCTGCACTCACCAAAACGACCCCTTCCACCCGACCCACGATCTCTGATCTCAAGTCGTTTCTTTCTGAATTCAATGGAGGAAGGGAATGAGTGGGTGCTGCCTGGGCCAACATAAAATTGGTACACGCCAATTGGGCGAGTGCCTGTGTATGTCTTCCAGCTTAACAGACACAGAGGGGACGAGTTCTCCGCACCTAAAAGTGCGGCGCTCCCAGCCTGTTCCGTTGCAGGCACGAGAACAACATCTCCCGAAGCCATCCGTGGCTCCCAGGAAATCTGCACGGCCCACATGTGCCCCGATTCCCGATCAGGTTGGCGCGTGGACAAGTTCACTGATCAGATTCGTCGAGCCGGGTAAGTTGGATGAAGCACGGTTCGGATCGGCCGCACGGGAATCGGTGATTCAGGACACGTGTGATTGTCAGTCAGTCATTGGTTGGCCATACCCCAAAACCCTAAACCGGCAAACCCCAAAATTCAAAAGAGAATGTGTTGGTTGGCAAGCCCACAAGTACAGCGGACTGCATGCACACCCTGGCTTGGGCCGATTCGCGGAGCTGATTGGAGGATATGGCTTCCCAACTACCTACAGCTTCCCAGGTAGTACTCATCAATCGATCCCTTGCCAGTGATTGTGACATGTAAATGATGTTTGGTAGTTTGCCTGGATGGGTCGATTGAATGTAATTTGTAAGGTCGAGGTTTGAGGAATTTGCTTGGCTTCGAGACTCAGAAGACTATCAACTTCAGGGTAACACCCAAGAAGGTCAGAAAAGGAAGATGAGGAAACGAAGAACATGTTTGGTGAGTGCATATCGGAATTCAATATCTACCGCAAGCGTTGCTATATGGCGTTGATTGCTCGATCTGTCGGTATGGGCCCCACTGCGACTCTTGAGACTTGAGGGCAATTGACTGAAATCTTTCTTTGCAGGCCAGTTTCGGTCATAACGTTTGGGAATCACCCAAGCCGAATCAAGCACTCGATGCTTGACTGAGAGGTTGCACCATAAAAGCACTCCCAGCACCCGAGGAGGGGGGAGATGTTGTGATGACGTGCTCCCTATCAGGGGCAATTCCCAACACAACATCTAGATGCTAAATCGATAAAACCATCAGCCATCCATATCCATACTGCTTGGACCCCTTCAAGGTCCACGGAAACCGAAGTTGCCTCTGATGTTGATCTTCTGCCCCATTGGTGTCGGAGATGGCTCTGCGATTGTGATGCGTGCTTCTCCATCACCCAGTGCCGGATTGTGAAGCTCTTGCACAGCAGTCACTGTACTCCAAGGGTCTGTAATCATGGGAAATTTTGACCGGAAGGAAATCTCAATGTTCCCCGTGGATCCATTCTCGATCACGTAAACACCTTGCAAAATGAAGCTACCGAATGGCAAGTGCTGAGCTGAAGTGTCTATACCAGAGTTGCCCACAAGGAGACGGAAGCCACCCTCGTGCAGGCGGGAATCCAGTCCAGGCTGTTCGACATTGTTGTCCGGAAGGACCTTCAGCAAGGCTCGCTGGTTGCTCAAATGGTTAACCTCGTAAGGAACAACAGTGTTTCCCCTGCCCAAGTCGATCTGAGCGTGGAGAGGAGTGTCGTTCCAGTCATCCGGTTGCACGAGGCCGATGCCGAATGTGTCCCGCAGGGCTACAAGGAATTTGCGGCGAAGCGCTCTTATCTCGCTGTCCAACTTGAACGAAGTCCAGCGGCGAAGAAACTTGATGCCTGCTTCATGAAATCACAGCATCTCTCGTCACACTGGCAACAGGAGTCTTTGGGCAGAGAAGTAGCCATAAGCATGACCAATGCAGAGTACAAACGGTAAAGATGCGAATGCCAGTCGTAAACCGCAACAAGAGAGAGCACCGATCGTCACAACAGAAAAATGATCTGAAAAACAATCGTCATGCCCTTGCCGGTGTGAGCACCCTGACATAAGAAAGCGCTTCAACAGCGCTGCTGAGCGCACTCCAGTCAAGAGTACACCCTCAAGAGGACCAAAACAACTGGCAAGAGGATCACGACCTCTACCGAGTTCGACTCCAAAAAGTGTGAGGACACTCCATGCGACGCGACAATTGCAAGCTCCAAATCTTGGAAGATCATGCACGAGACAGTGGCAGGAATGCAGCCTCTTTCACACCCTGCACCCAGTGCAAGCCAGGCTGCGGGAGCTGTTTTTTTTGCGCCTACATATTGGGCCTACATCCACAAAACCCACCAATGTTGACGCTGTGTTTGGAGATGTGGAGAATCATGGTCGCTGTCTTCGTAGCAATAATCATGATAACGCCCCAGGAACAAAAGGAAACAACACGATAATGAGACTGCGAATAGTAATCATGTAGAAGCACGAACAACGACAAACAGAGTAAGAACCAAGTGGTGATCTTAGACAAGCGGCAGGCAACATTCTATACAGCGGTAGTGGGAAGACAGGAACCAGTGAACCAGCCTGCTTCATGCGTATAGTGGTGGGCGAACAGGTACGGAAGAATGTCAGCACCTGATCGACTCCTGCTCACGGGAAGCACCCCATCAGCGAAGACCACAATATCGGTCTGGAACTCCCGATGGAACGTAGGCTGCGAGACTAGGGGTGTGACTCTTCCGGAGCTCGTCGGTGCGTCAGGCCACTCATCATCGAAGAAAACGGCATTCTGAATCACGTAAGTTGTGCTCTCGCCACTGTTATCCGCAATGGTTGTTCCCGTTGCACGGCCTCGGCCGAGAATCTGATTGCCCACGACGCAGTTGGCGTAGGAGACGGTTGCCGACCCAGAGCCACCCAAAGGGTTGGGGTTGGGGTAGCTGGGGTAGTTGGGGTAGTTGATGTTGGAGAAGGGGCAATCTGCATAGTAGATCGACTCCACATCCTCGGCATTCGGCTTCAGGCCGTCGATGATCCCAAGACCACGGTGAACATAGAGGCCTTGGGAAACAATGGCAGTGCCCGGCGGAGCAAACTTTCCAGCATTGCCCCCGAAGGTGCCGTTCAGGGTGATGCCGGACGGGCCGGTGAAGAACACGTAAAAAAAATCCAGGATCATGGCACCTGAGTATCCAGAAAAAGACATGTAGCAATCACGCTGAGCTGGCAACATGGCACAACAATCATAACAGCAAGACAGGCAGTAACACTTAGAATGCCAGCAAAAGCAATACCACAAACACTACCAAAACGAACAAGATGAAGGACCCGCAGGCGGCTTCGAACAAGTAGTGCCAACGCAGACGGCTGTGGCTGTAGATTCGGTGTCACCAAGGCATCCGAAGACGACAAAGCTGTCGGGCTCCAGTGGCACGAACAGCAGCTGATCCACAGGCCAGCAGGAAACCTCGGGCCTTCTCGTCGATGTTGTAGCTGGTGTTGCTCTTCAAAAGTGCAAGCGAAGCAGCTGGATCCGCAACGGGCAGGGCAGTCGGAAGGATTATTTCCTGCGCAGGGCTGGGCTGAGGGACCCCAGACTCGCAGCCTCCATGCACCGGCGCTTGAACTCTGAATGCTGGCGACTGCTCAAGGGTATCTCTTGCATCCCAGTTTGGGGTGCTCTTACGAGGACATGTCAGGTATTAGTGAGTCGAGACATGGCTGGATGACACACACGCCTTTGACTGCCGGTGGGGTAAGGCTCAGCAGTTTCAATTGCAGCTGAGCGAGGTGGCCAGCGGTTGGCTTATGGCATAACATTTTGCAACGTTGACTTAATAACTTAAGCCTTCACAACGCCTGTGTCTGGACGTTTTCAGATGCTCCCTTCCGGTCCAAAACAGGAGGGCAGCATGTGATAACTGTGATTTTGGAAACAAATGCGTTTGAACAGCTCGTGGGAGCCATTCGGCGCTATAGATTTCCCCAAACGGCAGTGTGCTCCTGCCATAGCGCTGTGCAATCAACACACGAAAAAGATCTCTGACAGGTCCTGGGGCAAAGCACATTTATGTATGTAGAGTTTTTGGATTATCTCACTGCTGCTGCTTTCCATGTTTTTCTTCACTGCACCTATCACTGCAGTGCATGAAGCATGTCGACTCTGCGAAAAACTATTTTTTGTTTGGTACTTCGTAGTCGCGAACGCATTTCGGTCCTTGGGCAAACTTGCCATCAGAGTTCAGGATCGCTGCTACCTCAACCGTGATTCCAGCAAAGAAGCCGAGATAGAACTGACTTGCTGGATAATTGGGGTCCTCATGGTCTGATCGGGTAAGCAGTTCACATTAAAAAAGCCGCAAGAGTCGCATCAATAAATCCCTAGCGATAGTATCAGCAACTGTGGCGAGTACAGCTAAGTAGTCATGCACCGACACCGGCGCGCGCGCGCGCTCGCTGGAACTTTGGGTGAGGCATGGGCCCACCTGCAATGCCGCCGCATGCCTCTCTTGCATTGGGGGCGCGCCGCAATAAGGCAACTCTTTGATCATAACCCTCTACCCCGCTTCTAGGAGCCAGCTAGCATGTTCCTCTCCCGGGTGTCCTGGGGTTCTGGCCAGTAATCATTGTCCGGTCGAGGGCCAAAATGGATGTCCTCCATCAGGATGTACCTTCTGGATTTGCTGATGCTCCAAGGTCCAAACAAGGTCCAAACCTTTCCAAACCCGAGGCACTGAGCCCTGGCGTGCTACTTTTGAGACCCCAAACCCTACCTTCCGGAGTCTTTGATGCGATAGGTGCCATTCTGGAAATCGCGCTGACTGAGTCGCGTGATCTGATGTTGCGGCCTTCGCCGTCGTGAGTCGGAAATACGCTTCGTGCTCAAAGCAGAGTTCTCATCGCAAGTGTCCGTATCGTTCGACCCGACAATCACCTGTACGAGAAACGACCAAACGGCAACACGGAGAGCTCGGTGACCGCGCAGTTGGACAATGGCTGGATGTTGAAAGCAGCACAAGAGTGACTCTGGGCACCGTGTGCTTGATTCCAAAATGGCTCACGGGCGCAGGTCGTGCTTACAGGTCTGTCCGAAACTCGATTTTTGAGGATCTGACTCGTTGATGCTCCCTCGCACTGTCCGGCCGTGACTTTCTGGCATGCGAAAGCTGGCAAACTGGATGATGTTGCCACTGTTGGGCTTCTGCCCCGGCGCCTTGCCGAGGGGGGGGGGATGGGACCTCCTTTCTGTTTCTTGTGACCAGCTCTCAATATTTTTGTGTTCAGAGCACGGGAGATTTTGTGAGCCAAGTATTGCCGCCACCCCGCCTCCCCACTGATTTCTTCCGAGTCAGCTATTGTTTCATCTTGATTCTTAAGGTGCAGCCGGGATGCCAACAGCATCTCGGCATGCGAAAGATGTGTCTGAGCTGTTTCTGCGCGCGTTAGAGTGAACAGCTGCCATCTCTTTGCCCCTTATAAGCCTTAAGCCTTTCGAGGCCGGGGCCCCCTAAACTCCATTCCGACACGTACTTCCCGAACCTTGCGACGGCAACAATAGAGGCACCGAGCCGGAAGATGCGCTAAACCACTACGCAGAGGGCAAAGGGTTTAAGCTCTCGTTTTTGAGTTTGCTCTCCCAGTTGGCCAGTCGAAACTAATTCACCAGCACAGCCCAGAGCAGAGTCAGCATTGTCTCACATCGTCTCATATTGTCTCTCTGCGCTTTTTTTTGGACTCCGAAGGCTTCTTCTGCTCGTAGGTGATGAACTGCAGCCACTCCTCGGCTGATTTTTGCTCTCCCTGTGCTCTCTCCATTGAACTCAAAGGCCGACACAAAAACCACCTTTCTCTTGCTCTCTCTCTCTCTCTCGCCCTCGATCTCTCTCTCTTCTTCTTCTTCTTCTTCTTCTTCTTCTTCTTCTTCTTCTGCTTCTACCCAGCGAAGGGGCCTTGAGGGGTCCCCGGCCCCGATGCCCCGCTGCCCGCTTCGAAAGGTCCGTGACACGGGCGTCTGACTGTGACGAGTGGTTTTCACTCAAAGGCCTAGGACTTTCCAGGGTCCCCAGCTGTGTCCCCCCCCCCTCCCCCCCCGGCCGCGTTTTGGTGAAGTTCGTTGAACGGCTCCTCCCTCTCTCTCTTGCTCTCTTCTTCTTCTTCTTAGCTTGAGGGGAGCGGACCCCTCCCCCCCCCCCCCTGCGCGAGGCGGGCCCAGATCCATCGTGGAATGTGATACGTAGACGCTCTCTCCCTCTCTCTCTCTCTCTCTCCCCTCTCTCTTCTTTATTGTATGTTGACATGGCATCCACTCTGCAGGCGCGGTTCCTTGGCCAGTGCAAAGGGACGGCCCCAGAGCTGGAAATACCGCTCCGCGCTGTCGTAGAGCCTCTCAATGATTGCACACCAGCTCCCCAAACACCGAGAGAGAGAGAGAGAGAGAGAGAGAGAGAGAGAGAGAGAGAGAGAGCGCCGCACCTGCCCTCCCGCCGCGCTGCCACTTCTGCTTCATCGGTGGTCGGGAAGATGCGGGGAAACTCGGGCACTGCCTCGCTGAGAAAAGTCTGAGAAGACCACACCAAGTCACGGGACCAAGTTCCCCCCTGCCACGGTCCCTAATTTAACTTTGGCCCTTCGTATTTCCAATTGACATTGGCTTTTCCCCCTGAAACTCATTTGTGGAATTTCCGGATCTCTTCCTGTGCCGAGCGTCCACGGGACCCGCGTCGGCAGTGGAGCCATGTAGGCTTGCGATGATAACGCAGCGGTCTTCATCATACTGACTATTGGCTGGGAAGAGCACTCGGTGAGGGATTGTGGGCGTGAACATCAAGACATCTCCCAGCTTCACGTCGAACCTCTTTCGCTCGCCATGGACCTCGAACTCCAAAGTCCCAATCCCCTCTTGCCGTCCACTTTCAAGCGGAATCCAACAGCGAAGGACATCCTCCTCCCGAGCCACAGCGGAGATCACCCCAACCTCAGAGACGCCACAGAGCGCCCCGCGATGAGCCCCGCATATCTCCACTCACTGGACGAGAAGCTGTGTTTGCAAGACACTGTTGCCATGAAGCTACTTAACACTTAATAGCTCCTCTCTCTTGTGGCTGCATCTGGGCGCATCTGTGTGGAACTTCTCCACGTCCGTGAACCTGAGGGCTTGCATGAAACTTGTCGAGGAATTTGTGTTCTATGGGTCAGACGCTTCGACGACTGGACGGTGCAACTCAGTACAATCCCCTTCGCGAAGTCGAAGCCGCCAGCACTTTGGCAACGGCGCCAAGCGGCGGCGGGCAGTGCGGATTCACGTTCAGCTGGTCCACGATAAGCCTCACCTCCTCACACCTCAGCGCGCTTATTTGAGGGCTTATGCAAACTCGCACAACTCTCGAAGGTAAGGATCCTCCCCGCGCAGCGAGTCCGTTCGAGTCCCCATCGCCCACTAACTTTAAAACCCTCAATTGGCTCCCTGGCTGGTGTCCCCAAGCATAGCACACGACTGGAACCTCGACTCCTATCTCAACTCACATCTCCAGAGACGAGATCAGAAGAGGGGCCCCTCTTTTTCAGGATTCGCTTGCCAAAGTTAGAGGATGTTAGAGGATGTTAGAGGGGCCGAGCGGCTGTAAGAGTTGCTTTGCCAGGCCGGCAAGTGGGGAGGAAGTCCAGAAGTCGAAGAAGCGGTCGTTGGTGAGGAAGAGCCCCGCCTGCACGTAGTCCATGGAGAAGAAGCTCCGCAAGCCAGTGACGAAGGCGGAGACCTGAAAAGCAGAGATTTCTGCCCGATTCTGCGCTTCAGCAGTATTCAAATGTATTCAGCCAATCTTACAAACCACGCTTATATACGCGTGGCCTGCGGGTGCTCCATCTGGTGCTGGACAACCGACTTCAAGTAGGGCACCTGACACCGCTCGGGGCTTGGCGCACGTTGTCGCGATGCATCGCGCATCATCGCACCCACCTCCCCTTTGCTCAAGTGACATGTTCCGCTTCTCAGCGTTGATGCTGATTCTGGCAAGAGATCCCCGCTAAACTACGAAACATATTCGCCGAGGCCCTGCAAGCTTTAGGCCCTTTAGGCCATTTAAAGCGTTTGGGACACGCTGACAAATGCCAACGGCAACGGGGGCGCAGAGGAGTCCCTGCCTCTCTGGATACGAACAGCCTCCTCAAACCCTTCTCACCTCAATGTAGGGACCCTTCTTTGGAACCTCCTTTGGGTGAACTCCCGCCATGTAAAGACCTTCGTGCCTGCACCCGACCCTCCCCCCGCTCCCCTCACGGCCCCTGTACCCCCTCTAGCTTTGCATCGGCTTTTTGCCGACCTATTGACCTCGCACTGGCTTTCTGTTCCGCCTCCCAGCCCTCCGCTTCGGCCTCCACAGAGCTTTCAGCTGGTGGCGAGGGCCACGCAGCGTACTAAGAAGAATAGAAGACGGATTCTTCCCCCCCCCCCCACTCACGGCGCAGCTCTGCGAGTCTCTGGTATAAGTTTTCTAAATGCAGTTTAGGCACCCAGTCGGTGATGGCCCCACGGAGCAGCACCACTTGATTCTCTTGGAACTCCCGGACCTGACCACCAAATTTCAAAGTTGAACGATGATTCAAGACAAGCTGGCAACAACACAACAACGCAAGCACAAAATGCACAACCGAACTTCCCGAACAATTTAGGCTGACTTCAGAAGACCTCCGACCAAACCCCCGAGTCCAGGTGCAGGGTGTGGACTCTTGCACAACGTTGAGCCGCGCCTTTGCATCAGGTATCAGCGAGGGATCCTGCGGCGGTGGCTGTTCCACGTGCGGGCGCTGCACCTCCGTCGTCCAGGACCGCACGTCCAGGCCGCGCCAAAAGCGTGGCTGGCGCCCGAGGAAGAGGAATCTCCGCTCGGCATCGGAAGTCTCGGAAGGGCCGGAAGGGCTGCTGATTTTCGAAGCCGTGGAAGCGCCTTTTGCCGCTCTCCTCTGGGCTCGCCACTGTCGCCGCTGTCGCCGCTCCTTGACGGCACAGGCAGCCAGTCCGACCGGTCCGAGTCCCAGGGCCCAAGAAGTTGGGCTTAAGCCTCGAGCGCAGCGAACAAACACTCAAAAATGAAAAGAGAAATCAGAGGAGGGACACGTCAACACACACTCCACACACACACACACACTCTTTACACACCTTACGCTTTACTTACACACGCATGTCGCAAGGTCAGACTTCTTCTTCCCAAAGAGAGCGAGAAGAGAAAAAACAAATGGAGGAAGGAGGCATCCATGGAAAGCCCTCCCTTCGAAAGAAAAGGAGGGGGTGGAAGGATAACTGAGATAAGAACTGAGAGCAGTGAGGGCAGCCGGGAAGGGGGGGGGTCCCTTTGCTGCCTCTGCTTCCTGGCGCTCGGAGCGCTGTCGAAGCCAAGGGCGCCGGCCTCCATTCTTACCACAGAAGGCGCTGATCTCGGCTTCCCCTCCCTCCTCTACTGTCACTACTCTCACTACTCTCACTACTCTCACTACTCTCTGTGTGTTAGAGCCCCCTGTCTGGTCCCTGAAACCCCTGCACTGTGCACCTCGGAGAAGTCAGAAGACATGGACTTCGAAGACTTGCCGCCGGCTCCATCAGGGCAGTGTGGCCGAGACCAGCGACTACGACGTATCCTACGATGTAACTACGACATATAACTACGAGAAAGAGTAGTTGTCACGTAGTTCCAGATTCCGGACCGTTCAACAGCTTATAAGCTGACGAACCGTAACGAGTCGTGGGTCATGGCTCATGGCCTGCCTGCGTGCACCCATGCAGGCGTGCACTGTGCTGCTGAGTGTCCGGAGTGCCCTTCGTGGCCGAAGATGAGCTCAGCAACGGAGTGGCAAAAACCCAAATGGGCGAAGCATGAACATGCCAGTTAGACTATGTAAAACTCTGCATCCGTGATATCAACCCTGACAGTTATGAAATGATGAGCAGGGCGAGGACGAGAATTCAGAGGGCTGGTTGACGGTCATCAACACAATCTGTTGAATAACAGTGATCGCTGGTAGAACATTTCCAGGAGCGGGGAAAAGTCACATCAGCAAATATCTCGAGCAGCTATGCGTGTGAATGTGTTCGTGGTCCCACCAACTGATGTCTTAAAAAACAAGATGCTGGGTAGGTGGGCAAAATGCATTAGGTTGGGATTGTCATGCATCAGATCTCAGAATCCCGGATGAAAGGACACTCGCCGCCTGAAGCAGCATAATACGACCACAGCAGCTAGTGCTTCAAACAAACAACAGAACTTATCTTTCATATCTGCTACATTTTGTAGATACGCAGGCTTTAGCAGCCTCGGCTTCGTCCAGAGGCCAAGCTTTGCTCACTTTTAACAAGGTGGGGGTCTGGTTTAGGGGCCCTGATCGTGCGGGATCAGTGAAACCAGTGCTGATGCCCATGGTGCTCGTGGGGTGGCGGCAGGCTTTGATTGCTTTGCACCTATAGTCCGCTTAATTAATTCGTTTCAGTGAACAATACGATGATCGGCCGCCTCCTCACCCTCCGACCTCCTGCGCAAGCGTACATCGTATATTCATATTTCTCGCCTGGTCATTCCCCTGCTTGGTAGGGTCTTCACGTCCTCTTTTCGGAGAAAGCATAAGTATTCACGAAGCAAGGCTACAAATACGTACACTACGTATGAGGGTGGCACAAAACCCAGACCAAGCCTTCACGAACGGGAACTACCAGTAGTGAGTAGAGAATGTATACGCGCCAGCACTACTCGGTGTGTTTGGTTAGGCAGGTTTGTGTGTGTTTTTGTGGATCTTTCGGGTACTTAGAATTTGGGATTGCAGAGATCCACTGCGAATCTTGGGAGCTGCGTGCTTGGGTGGTTGAGAATTGGTGTAAAGAACGGGAAGATTAGATGTGAGGATATGTGAGGTCTGCGGCTTGCTAAAGAAGGGAGACTTATGGAAACCTGCGCCGTCGCAACATGTACCTCCAATGTCCAACACCACAGCATGCAATTAATGCAATTGATATATCATGTGCCCTGCGCATACTAGAGTTGATCAGGTCTTTGACATTCTCTTTCCCTTCTCTGACCCTTCTCTCCCCTTCCTTTTCTGTGCTCAAGATTGCTCACGCCAACAGCCAACTGCAGCAGGGGCATGAGGCGCGCTTCTGTGCTTGTGGTGGAACTTGTTGAAGTCTGTTCACGGCAGAACGGAGAAGCGTTCTTGGGGCCGGGAAGATGTCAAGCGTTGGAAATTCGAAGCTTTGGGCGGCGAAGGATGGAGAGACCGAAGAAGAGACCGTCGAGACAGCCGAGACCGCCGCGGGTGTCCCACTGATTCCAGCTATGTCCTTCGAATCCGGGGTGTGCTCATTGTTGGGCACGACTCTGCTTCGCGGCAACGCGAAGACACGGAGTCTCGCAGTCTGAGCAGTTCACTGGAGAGTAGACATTGCCTCAGTAGGGCGCATCCAAGAGCATTCGAAGCGTCCGCGACGTGTTCTGGCGGGCCGTGCGCCAGCGCCTGTAGGCACCTTCGTTGAAGCCGATGATGAGCTGGATCCAGGCCTTGCGGCCTTCCGCCCTGCGAGCCACGAGTAACATGCCACGTCACATGCTTCGTGCATGAAACGTTGAAGATGCAATGAAATAAGCGTACCCTGAGCGTCCGAACTCGCAAACCTGGATCCTTCACCAAACAACTTTTGCTTCGGGACTTGGAAGTGTGCCAGGAATCCAGGAACATCTGATGAGCTGAGCGTCCCACAGTTCCACCCAAAACATTTAAGACAATTAATTTCCCACAAGCAGGCTTATAGTTGTTGGCTGCACCTCACGACCTTTTCCCTTTTTGGGAGTCGTCCCCCTTCCCTTTCCTCTTACTGATCACACACAATCCATCATGTAAGAGGAGAGGGGGGGGGGGGTGGCGGGGCCTGAGACTTGAGAGATTAACTATTCCACAACAACTCGCGCACGCTCCCAGGAGCTAGATTTCGTGACTTGCATTAAAATGCATGTACCTCAGCGAGATCTTGGAAAAGGCTTCGGGCTGTGCCTCTCCACATATACACGAAATCGATGATCGCAACCACCAGAGACACAAAGAGCGAGAGAGAGAGAGAGAGAGAGCAGAGAAAAACAACACAGAGGGAGAGAGAGAGAGAGAGAGAGTGGTCTTTTTCTTTGCACTTACTCACTCACAGCCTGGTGATGAGGTGGTTGAGGACCACTTCGTTGTCCTCTTCGGAGAAGCCGGCGAAGAGCTTGTGGTGTGGCAGCAGGGGGCCAAAGTGGGGATCGTGCCCCGTGAAGTAAAAGCAGAACTCCGGTAAAGGCCCCTGAAAACCCGATAAATCTCTCACAAGAACGCCCTGTTGCTTCTGCTGCTGCGCGCTGTAAGGGCTGTCGCCACTGTAGCTGTAAGAGTTTCTGTAAGAGGGACAGTAGTGAGTCAGGTCCTCTTTGAAGTCCTTCGCGGCGTCCAGGAAACGGAGCTTCTGCTTCAAGCGCACGTTGCTGGCAGTGGCGTGGTGCACTGTGTCCGTCAGCACCGCGTGAGTCAGGAACATGCCAGCATAGGCCACCAGGGGCGAATAGATGCCCCAACGCATGGCCTCCACTGAGTTACCATCTGCACCATCTTCAAAAGCCTCCACAGTGTGTCGGATGTGGTTCAAGATGTAGTTCATGTGAAGCTGCTCGAACGCCACGGGCTCCGAAAAGGGCAAAAGGTGACAAAGAAGCTCTTGCGCTTGCAGCCGCTGCACCAGCGCGTGCAGGAAGGAAGCGAACCGGAGCAAGTGCTGCCGATCTTTGCCAGCGCGATTGCCAGTGGCGCCTCCTTTCTCTCCGCCAAAGACCAGAACCCCGCTGTTGGCTTGTTGCAAGCGCCGGTCCCCGAATGCTGCCTGCTGCAAGAAGCACACATCCGCCCCGAGAGGCTTCGCGGCTCCGGTTCCTTTGCCGTCGTCTTCCAGGCAGCGCCGCAGAGTGGTGACCCAGTTTGGGAAGACCTGCACGTCCAAGTCCATGACCACGACCATGGGCACCTTTTGCTTTGCAGTCAGGGCATCCAGCAGCGCCTCAAAGAGGAAGAGGAACTTGACGTAGTTGAAGTAGAAGACCCTGTAGCTGGGTGAGAGCTTGCCCATTAAGATGAAGCCCTCCTTGGTCGTGTCCTTCATGTCGGGGACCCAACGTACTTTCACTTCACAGGGCTCCTTGGCCTCCTCGAAAGACCTCAGAAGCCTCTGCAGGGTTTTCTCGTAGCCTGGGGAGGCCATGAGCCACACAATTGGCAAAGGCTCCAAAGCACTCTCAGTGCTCTCACCATCGCCGCTTCCGCCGCCGCTTCCGCCGCCGCCCGCGTCCGCGCTTTGCCTTGGGATCTTCACCGTCTCCACCTCTCCCAGGAAGTGCTGCTGTGTCCAGGTCTGCGGGTGCCCGAAGTGCCAGCAGGCCTGCAGGCCTCGCGGGCCCTGCGGGCCCTGCGGGCCTGTCCCCTTGACTTCCGTCGCATTCCAGCTCACCAAGGCCAGCTGCGAGTCCTCGCGGAGGGCGAGCTCTCTACAGTTTGCTTGTCTGCTCTTGGCAAGATTCTTCACACACTCTAGCTGTTCATGGGGAAACCACATCTGGCCAAACAAGGGATTCAGGATGGGGAGCACAGGGAGCACGCCGAAACAACGTTTTCGGCAGTGGTATGATGCCGTTCGCCGTGGTTGTGATTCGTTGGGGGCGGTTGGCGGTTGGGAAGGGGTGGGGTGGAGAGTGTTCGGATTGTTCGGGGGTATTGGGGCTTCTTTGGGGGGAGATCTGCCCTGTATAAGACTGTCACGGAGCTTGTGAAGTCATGCTATAGGGGGAACAGCAGCATTAGTCGAAGAGATGGCTGAGAGGGTTTCTCGTGAGAGTGCTTTTGCTCCTGCACAGCCAGGTAGCGATTGCGATGTGCCTTCAGCGCCTTCAGCCAGAGGCAGGGCTCACTGAAGAGCTCCGTGTGGCCCTCGCCCGCCCGGCGAAGCTCCCAGAGGTGCCGGCAAGGCTCCTCATTGGACTTGAGGTGGACCACGCCCCCGTCGCCTCTCAGAACGGATTCAACAAAAACTCAGAGTCTGCCATTTTTTTCTAAGATTTTCTTATAATCTTTCTCCAACTTCAGCTGAATTCCCTTCGGGGCCGGGCAGCTGCACAGGGGCCGCTGCTGCCAGGAGATCTCCACGGAGACGGCGACAACTTGGCTTGGAGAGCTCCGCTTCGAGGAGCTCCGCTTCGAGGAGCTCCGCTTCGAGGAGCTCCGCTTCGAGCCCTCGCCCCTCTCTTCGCTCTCTTCGCTCTCCCTCCCTTCCTCTTGCCCTTCTTCTTGGCCTTCTGCCTGTGCTCGGTGCCTTCTCTGGACGCTTCGGACGCTTCGGACTTCGAAGAGCGTCGGCGTCGTGCAGGACTCCTCCAGACGGAGCCTTGCAGTGCCGTCCCTCAACCCGTCCTTCCCGTCCTTCCCGTCCTTCCCGTCCTTGCCGTCCTCCCAGCTGTCCACGCAAAGCTGCCGATGGCAGCGGTAGCAGAGCCCATAAACGGAGTCTGCCATCGAAGGGCTCACTGCTAAGGTCGCCAAGGCCAAGGAGGTGCTGGTCTTCGTCGTTGCTGCTTTTGCTGCTTTTGCTGCTTTCGTTGCTTGGGCTTGCGCCTTTGACACTGAGCCCCAAAACTGGCCTGGTTCCCGGTCTTCTGCTGCTGGCCATCCCGGCCGCTTCTCTGTTTCCACACCTGTTTCCACACCTCTTCTCACCGCTCCTTCGAGGGCTGCTGTGACGGTTCTGTTCTTGCGAGTGCTGATTCTTCTCTCTGCGTGTGGTTTGCTCCTCTTTGCGAAGGTGGCGAAGCCCGGAGCTTGCGAGACCAAGCCTGGGCAGCTGGCAAAGAGCCGGCAGTGGCCCCAGCCCATGCGGCGAAGAGGAAGCGCTGCCGTGGACGCCACTTCCCCTTCTCGTTGTGCTGCCTGTGGGTCTGCTGCAGCCTCCTCTGCAACCTCCTCTTCCTTCCCTTCTTCCGCCATTTCCGCCCCTTCCTTTGCTCTCCTCTCTTCGATTCTCTTCAAATTCCTATTTCTCTGCACCTTCACGTAGACCGTGTCCACGAAGGAGGCGAAGAGGCACCGCGATGACTCCTTTTTTCCAAGACTACAATGACAAACGACAGTAACTCTCGAACATCCCGCAGTGATAATGAAGCGAATTTGTGCGCCACAGCGCTCTGACTTTTGTGCTCTTTGTCTCATTTTGCTGCGTGCATGCCTGTGTTGTGACTACGTCTTCGTCTCCGTCATCAAACCAGACTTTCCTCACGAGGCTTCCTAAAAATTGGGAGATCAGACGAGGGACCTGGCAACGCCGGAGGCACAGCTGAAGGCTGGTTTCCAAGCTTTGATAAGGCTCTGAGCTGCAATGCCCCAAGCCCGCCAAGGCCCACGCGGCCATGGCGAAACGCGAAGAAGATTCCAAGACATGGACAACAATCCGACGAAAGTTTGAAAGCAAAGCAAAGCGCAAAAAAAACACGGATGCCTGTTTTTTGTGGGAGCTGCACACCGTGCTCTCAGGGACTCAAGACGTGGGGATTTGCTTGGCGCTCAAACTTGTATGATGCGATATGCAAGGAAGGGAAAGTGCAAAACAAGCGAGTCTGAAAGCAGGAGCACTGTGCAAGACTCTGCCCTCTCCAGCTGAGCCAGCTGAGGCCCTGACCACATCCGCCATGTGCATTTTTCCACATGGGGCTCGCCCGCAAAGCGGCGCGCTTCATTTTGGGCTTCATTGTGTCGCTGAAAGGGCGCTTTGCGCAGCGACGCTGTACAGAGGGCCCCCCAAACTGCCCACCGGCAAACAGAATTGCAAACTGCTGCAAACACGGCTCCTGGGAGCGCAGCGCAGGGCCTTCGTGGCCCCTTCGGGGCATTCCCGGGCAATCCTTCGGGGCAGAATTCTCCGACAGTTTGTGTGCCCGACGCAGACTCTGAGTCTACGCTAAGCACACGCAGTGCGAGAACACACACACACACACACGGAGACTCACATTGGACATTCACACTCATACTCACACACACTCACACGACATGCTCGCCTGATATGGGAGCACAAAAAGCGCGCTTACACCCACGAGAGTGATTTCAAGGCTCTGAGGGGGAGGGTTCTCTTTAGAGTGTAGCTCCCTATTGCAACCATCGCGCGGCTGGCGTCGCCATCCCGCTCACAATTAAGAGCAACTGCGACTTGTAGGACACCTGGCATAAGAGGCTTAGACGTTCGTTGGACAAGGCCTGACAGGTTCTCGTGAAAGGGTCGAATCATGTCTAGCTGATCGACACATACGTCACAACGGATCATCACCGGGCCACAACGCGCCTAGTCCGCCTAGGCCTCCGCCTAGAAGTGCTCCTCCAGCAAAATTGGCACACTTTGCCCAGCTGCAGGCATCTTCATTGAACATGCTCTCGAGCCTTGAAGAACGAAAATCGGGTTGGGCACCTGAGTCACGACACATTCGCCAGATATATCGAACAGTCAGAGCATTCCTTTTTTTTTGTGTTTGCTCCGACAGCACCCAGCGCTTCTCATTTGGGCTGACCCTGGGGGCGCTGCGCGTGCTCTGGCGGGTCGCTGTGCTTGGTGCCTCTCACAGGACAAGAGGAATACAATCTCTGCACAACTTTTCAAGATGTTAGCTGTGCTCAGATTTTGTCCCTAAGCCTGTGTGACCCAGTGCCCAAGTTCTCTTGAAATGCACTGACATTTTGCTCCGAGGCTCTCTGTCGCGAGAGCTCCTCCCCGATGATGGGCGAGCCGCAGAGGAAGACGCCCACGTGGTCGCCGTTGTGCTGGGCCTCAAAGGGCAAAAAAAACACACGAGAACAGCCGCCCCGCTGAGAGGGGGGGGTGAACAAATCCAAAACACACAGAGTTGCAAAAATCGGAAAGATTCCAGAGAGGGCCTTGCAGCCCTTGAAGATGCGGCCCCAGTTGGGGCGGCCGAAGTACTGATGGTGCACACCTCAGAAAGGGTGCGCGCAAAACGAAAACACGCAGGCACGCAGGCACGCACACAAACACAAGCACAAGCACACAAACACAAACACAAGCACAAGCACACACAGACACAGACAAACAGAGACACACACACACACACACTTACACTTACACTTGCACTTGCACTTGCACTTGCACTTGCACTTGCACTTACACTTTTGCACTTGCAATTGGACACCGAGACGGTTCCAATCACTGCATCTGCTTTAAAAATGCTGAGCAGGTACGTGGAAGCCGTGTCCGGCCTCCACATCAGCACAAAGCATGAGTGAGCCTCTCATTGAATGCTCACACTTTGTGGAGCATCCTGCTGCTTTGTGACTTTACAGAAAGAACACCTACGTCCTTAGAACGAAGGATTGTGCACACACACACACACACACCCACACACACCCACCCACGCACGCCCAAGAAATGATTGATACACTTGGTATCATGGATCAATCTTTTGTTAAATGCACATTCACACAGACTCACAGAGCGCCTGTTAAAAAAGCCAGGGAGGGGGAGGAGGGTCGGATTCGGCTCATTTAAAACTCGAGGTATGAAGTGATCCTCTAGCTCTTCAGCTATTGAGCGAAGACAATCCATGAACATTCTCTTCCCGCTTGGGGCTTGAGTAAAGTCCTACGAGGTACTCGCTGAAGAGAAAAACCCTGCGAGCCACAAGAGCGCGACCGCGTTGCCTTAAGTGCGGGGCGTTCAAGATCTAAGGTTGAGGGTCATGATTCTGATTTTTCTGCATGTTTTAATAAAGATGTATATTGTACTATTTATGCAGATGTGTATACATACAGAATAATAATAACAAAAATATGTATATGTATGCAACCTCCCCCCCCCCCCCCCCCCCCCCTCGTTGTAATTGTCTAGTGGGCTCCGGGGGATAGACGGGTGATACACGCGAGTGAGATGTGTGGTCAAGCGGTGTGACTGAGATCTATGTGGGAGGTCCAAGGTCCAAGATCTAAAATTGCAGGGACTCTTGGGGATGGATCTTGGAGATTCATCCCGAATCCCGAAAAATCTTGGATCTTGAGCCGTGGGCCCTCCCCCATTGAATTTCAACGTGGCCGCTGAGATTCAATGTGTGAAATGGTGTTCAAGCGGTGGGCGTTTTCATGAGTCACATTGAAGCTCAATATGGGAGACGGAACAGCGACGGTGAGCGTTTTCTTTGTGAGGAGATGGTGCCCAGGGTGCGGGAATCATACACATGCATTTTCATTTTTTGTTGTTTGGGATTTTCATGCTCTGGGTACCAAGGAATATGCGCTGCTTCTCTCAAAAGAAGATTATGTTTGCCATGTCGAAGTTCTGCTTCGGGCCAGCTTCTGCTTCCACTCGAGCGCGGAATTCCCAAACATCGGCACTGTCACGGGCACGCACGGATCTTCAGGTCTGGATCCAAGCCGATGCCGGCGTCAGAGTACGAGGCGGTCGAACGATGTCATGTGCTGCGGCCATGGCAGTGTCTGAGAGAACGAGCACTCTCTCTCAGATCTCTCTCTCTCTCTCTCTCTGTCTCTCTCGCTCTGTCTCTCGGTCGCGGCTCTCTCATAAGGAGTCCCAAAGCGAGAGCCCCGCCCCCCCCCCCCCCCCCCGTGGGTGGCTTAAATAGGGTTTATTTGGAAGCTGAGAGTCGTGTTTTTGTGTGGTAGATACAAAGGAAAGGGCATAAGAAAGTAGCGAAAGGAGCTCCTCAATTCCCTTCCTTATCTCCTATCCTCTTTTCTTTATTCATTGCAACAGGAGAATACAGGAAAAGGGCCTCCATTCCCCTCTTGTTCTTCCTTTCTTGTGTTTTTGTCATTTAAAGGGGAACAGGAGAAGAGAAGGGAAAGAGAAGGAGAGAGGAGAGATAAAAGGAACACAATTTTAATTGGAAGAGCCAAGAAAAGAATAGAAGAGAGATGAACAAAGAAGATGGAGAGACAAAACAAGGCGCAAAGAAGATGGCACTCTTCTTTATCTATCCTCTCTCCCTTCTCTCTCCCTTCCCTCTTTCTTTTCGAAACAGAAAAACTAAAAAGGAAGAACTTGAAAAGGAGAAGGGTAAGGAAAAGAGCAGAAGAGACAGGCCGAAAAGAGGGATATGATGAAGTATGGGCAAGGTCCACGCGCAAGGAGTCACCCTCTGCTTACCCTTCCACTGCTTTATCATACAAGTTCCTTTCTTGTGTTTTATTAGTTAAAAGGTAACAGAAGGAGAGAAGGGCAAGGGAAGTGAGAGAGGAGAGACAACAAGGAGGCCATTTGAATTTTCTGGAGGGGTACTGAAAAGAAGAGAAGACACAAGAAACAAGGAGACGGATAGCACTCTTCTTTATCTATCATCTCTCCCTTCCTTGTCTCTCGCTTTTCCCTCTATAATTAAAACAAATAGGTGCCCTCTCCTCTTCAGGAAGCCCCCTTGCCCTTATTTTGCTAGCTTTCTGAAACGACAAGGAAAACAACACATAGAAAGAGAGGAAAGGGAATGAAACAATAGGCAGTGGAGCTCTTCAGTGTCTTTACCTATCTCTTTTCTTCTTTTTCTTCTTCATTCAATAAGGAAAAGAAGCTTCCTTTGGTGTGATTTTGAGATTTAAAAGAGAACAAGAGAAGAGAAGGGAGAGAGAAAGGAGAGAGGAGAGATCAAAAGGAAGCAATTTTCATGGGAAGAGCAATGAAAATCATGGAAGAGAAATGAAGACAGGAGAGGGAGGTGCAAAATCAGGCAAAGAGAAGATGGTGCTCGTTTTCTTCTTTCCTCTCTTTCTTATCTTTCCCTTTCAAATAAAAACAAAAGGAAGAACAATGAACATGTAAAGGAACCCGTTTTCTTTTTCCGTTTGGGAACAAGGAAAAGAACAGAGGCGATAGGGCGAGAGGAGGGATTTGCTGCAGCATGGGGAGGGTCTACGGACAAGGAGCCAACCCCGCCCGCCCCATCCATTGGAAAAGAAAGGAACATGGCCTCCATTCCCCTCTT